CATACTAAAACGTATACATTCAATAATGGTATTTATTTTAGCTAAAAGTAACAGAATTGTGAGAGTCGACCTTCTTATTACGTATGGATTTTTATAAAAATATACTATTAATTTTGTTTATATAGTGGGATAAATAAATGCTTAATAAGATGATCATCTCTCAGACTTTTTTGGGGACTCAGACAAGGTGTTCCACGATCGTCAGAAAATAGATAAAAGTTGTATAAAATGACGTCAATGATAGAATCATTATCATTATTCTACGATTGTAGAACGACCTCTCGTCTAAGCTCTTTGATTAGACTACAGTATTCTGGAACACTCACTGTTTACAGAGTGTCAGTATGTCTAAAAGAAAAATTGCATTTAACTAAACTCTTACATTGAGATTCTAAAATCGACATTAATTGAAATAGAAAAAACGTATAATTCAGAGCTGATGGGATTTCCCTCCCACTGGTGAAGTTTTTTAGACATACAAGTTAGTTTCATATATATCTTATTAAAGTTTCAATATTTTCTTAATATAATTTAAGTGTATTTTCCTGATGTTTTGTTAAATTTCTACTCTTATATTGAACTAGCGACTCACCCTCGATTCGCTCGGGTTCCTCCCTAGCTTGCTTCCCAATACAAATTTCATCCCCATTTTCACCCCCTTAAGTGATGATATTCGGGATAAAAAGTATTTTATGTCCTTTCCAGGGTCTCAAACAATCTTCTTACCAAATTTCATCTAAATCGGTTCAGTAGATTCAGAGATTACCCCCTAAAACGTCACAAACTTTACCTCTTTATAATATTAGTATAGATGAATTGTTTGTTCGTGGTAACTTTATTGGTGTATTTACTATTATTGTTATTTGTTGCTTGTGTTATAACATTGTTTGTTTCCCTAATCTATACTAATATTATAAAGAGGAAATATTTTTTGTTTGTATGTTCGTACCGAATAAGCTCCGAAACTGAAGAACCGATTTAGATGAAATTTGGTAAGAAGATAGTTTGAGATCCTGCTAAGGACATGAGATAGTTTTTATCTCGGAAATCATCCCTTAAGGGAGTGAAAATGGGGGTGAAAGTTTTTATGGGGAAGCAGCCTAGGTACGAACCCAAGCGAAACGAGGGTGAGTCGCTAGTAAAAAATAAAATAAAGTTTTCTACATTATCTTCGCTCATCACATTAGCGAGTGGTAACGACGTTGAAAATGAATCTCATTTGAAAATCTTAGAAGTGCGAGACCCAGAGCTCAAACTCGCTTCACCTTGGTTCAAAACGAGTCCATTACTAAACTACACTAATATTATCTTAAAAATATGGGTATGACATATTTAAGCAATATAATATGCCATTCTAGTATTAAGGTTTCTATAACTAGCACGCTTTGAAGCAATTAACAGGAAAATTGAATAGAATTAAGGTTTCTATTAACGACATCGATTGTAGAAAGTCAATTTCATTAGAAGGCATATTAATATATGGTATTTATGTTGCAGGTTTAATCGCAATCTAAACGCTGCATTTCATAGTTCATACATATTTGTACTGTGTAAATACACAAAATAAATACAAACTACTTTGTGTTAGAACTGTAATGCAAATATGGCTTATTATAAAGTTTCTATGAAATATCTCCTCATGCATATATTTAGACAATCTTTGGCTTTTATTTTTGATTTATTGACTATTAAAGTAAAGGATTCGTTTATAATAAAAATTTACTCTTAAAACATATTGTATGAATGATATATACAAAAAAAGTGCGTGTGTGTGCAATTCACACACTGTAGAAGTGAAACTTCAGAAAAGTAACCTACGAGAGAATGAGATGAATATTAAATATTAGGAGTAGGATATTTATAAGATTTTTTTAATAATAATTTTACCAAGTTTAAAAGTTATTTTACATTTTATTTGACATAAATGTACATTATAAACATATTTTTCGGTAATTAATTTTATTATTTTTCACTTCCTGTGTAATGTATTATAATCTAAAACAATTAAATAAGGCATATTGGGCATATTACAATCATATATTTATAGAATATCATATACGGAAAGAATATAATATTATATATTTTTCAGACAATGACAAAAGTTACCATGGCAACATGGCAATGTATTCTATCTCATTCTTTCGCCGGCTTAATCCTACATATTTATGTGTTTGTCTCTTTTTAGTGTCGCATTTTCGTTTCATAGAGTTTCAAATTATAACGGTTCTACAGAAGTTTCACTTCAAAAATTCAAATACTTTCATACATACACAAAAACTAGTTACAAATAAAGCTCTATATACAACTACAATATTATTTGACATATCAATGTTATTGTTAAGCTATCGGTGAGTTAGATACTGCCTCCGTACGAAAATAAAAAGTAATATCGAAGTTCGCAATAAAAATTAGAAAAACATTTAGATTGAAAATAGTAAGAAGCTGGAATAGTAGAAGCTTATTATAAACTAGCGACTCACCTTCGCTTCGCTCGGGTTCGTCCCTAATTACGTTTTAACGTTTAGTATAGATTTCTCAGAGATGAGATATTTTCTTGCAATAAAAAGTATTCTATATGTTGACCCGAATAACCAGCTATCATCATACCAAATTTCGTCAAAATCTCTCTAGTGGTTTTTCCGTGATGAGGCAAAATGCAGAAAAAATATCTTAAAACTATAAATTCGGCTTCTGTATCGATAATAATGTCTATTTCAATAAAAATTTCCAAAAAATATTTAATGTACAGGTTCGGCTTGATTACAATTTTATTATATGTATAGATATAAAAAACTTCATTAAACTTCGTGAAGCAAGAATTAGTATTGAATTCTAAATTGTATATACAATATACATAGATGAAATCTAAAATCGAAACATTTATTCTAATAACATTGGACTAAAATATTACGCTTTATATTTTTTCACTTTATAAAATATTATTTTTACTTAATTTTGGTCTTCTAGAAATAATATTTTTAACTGATATGATTCATTACGCCGTTAGAAATTGATATTTTTCTTGAAATATATTTGAATCCACTCTTGCAATATAAATATATAAATAAAAACTAATCAAGACATTACAGTGACATTTGGAAGATATCTCGTAACGTACAAATATATATACAAACATACACCATTCGAATTCAGTATCTCCTATATTTTGAAATCGGTGAAAAATTGGTACATTGTAATATAACATCTTACGTTCGTACTGAGGCAGTAAAATTACTTAATCTACAAACCAAAATAAACTAAACAGATGAGAAATACACCGTTTAAAATAATACCCGTATTGGTAAAGGTCCTGTTATTTCCCCTGTAACATACTAAACAATAAATATTTCTATATGTAAGCCTCAATATAATCATATGGGAAAGCTAAAACTTAATTTTAGCACAACTTATATTAAAAATAATATATCAGTAAAACTTCCCTTACAACAGACATTTTGTATGTTAAATTAACATAAATGTACTTGTTAAGTTAACTGAACCCTCAAAGTATATGGGGTAAGAAAATATTCATTCTATTCAGCCCTTTTTCCCTTTCCACTGTTGAGCACGGGTTAAATACTATAATCAATCCAAAAAAGTATTTATTATGGAGATTTAATAGTATATATAAGGCAGTGGAAGTCCAGTGGCAACGCGATCCCAAGGGAAACTGAGTGAAGCAGGTTCAAATCCCAGCCCTCGCATCTGTGATATTTTCATCTGCGAATCATTTTCAACATTATGAAAATATCTTGAGGAAACTTACATGTCTGAGACAACCTAGCAAGTTTTCGAAAGTCATGTGAAGTCCGCCAACCCGCACTTGGCCAGCGTGTTAGACTATGGCCTGATCCTCCTCGTATTGAAGGGAGGCCCGTGCCTAGCAGTGGGACGTTAAAAAGGGCTAAATACAATAGTATATTTACAGTTACAAAATGTAAAGAAAGCTAAGTTTTTAAAAGCAAATTATTAATATACGTATGTATATATTATAATTAGCACTCACTAATAGATCTTACAATAAATTATCACTATAGCATAATACTGCATGCATTCCATCACGTTCATTGATTCATTTGTAAATCATTTTGATTAAAAAATCTACCCATAACAAGATTTTTTTAAGAATTTTACTTAAATTTGTATTCACTATTTTATTGATTTTTATTATAGCATATCAAAACATTAGTTCAGAAATTTATGAACATTTCGAACAAAATAATAAAAGTATGCTTGAATATTCTTCTGCTTCTGAATAAATACTAATAAATATTTTATATCTTTGAATAGAATTGAGTGAGTCCTACTTTTAGTGTTTGGTTTAAAATTGATATAAACATTCGAAAAAATATTCGTTATATTACTTGAAAACTTGTAAACTTATGAAATACTGTAAACTTCTTGTATAATAGGATTTAAGATCAATATATAATATACTAGCGTCTGACCCTCACTTCGCTCGGGTTCGTCCCTAGGTGACTGTTTAAATTGAAATAACTTTTTTATTTATCAACCGATTGAAATAAAACATATTTCTGACATTAGCACGCGCACACGCACAGACAAAAAATCTAAAAATCATTGTTTTTGGTTCTATTGCGTTAATGATGATCCCCAATAATCGTTTTTCTCAAATATCTTCCATGTACAGACAGCGATCAGCAACAATTTTATGATATGTATTTATTAGATGTCTTGATTAAATAACATCATTGCTATTTAATTTATATTATTATATATAGTTTTGAATTAAACGTATAATATTTATTTATAAATAAATATTATACGTTTAATTTATACCTATAATATATAAAAACCTATTTCATTCCCATTATCTGAATAAATATACCTACATATACCTATGTGTTTGGTTTAAAAAAAATGGATGATGTGTGAGGGTGATCTAAAGTGGTGATATAAAGAAAAATTATTCTTATCAATGCCTCGCGTTGTGTTTTCTTCAATCGAAGACTGTGTGTTGGTATGCTGTCTTGTTTTCATGTATCAGTTTGAGTTTCCATATCGTCATGTCGAGTTAGTTCGGTTTCTTGGAGTTCTCCATCGCTGTGTCCGGAATATGTATCTGCTGTTAAATAATTATATATTAATTTCTACTTTACAACTAAAATAGTACACCGATTTTAAAATATATATATATATATATATATATATATATATATATATATATATAAAAATACGTATTTCATCTTCATAAGTTGTTAATTGTATATATTATATAATCATCACAAATATAATCAATTTATAAACATGAAATTTAGATACACTCGTATTAACTCTTATATTTTCTTTTTTTAGACTTCGGTCTAAAAGACATCATTTATATGTTTATTAGCATATAAATAACATTTACAATAGCATCGTATCTGTGCCTTTGTTTAGTATTGCCTATTGCATCGAAGATTTAAAATTCATGCCCCACACATGATGAAAGGTTTATACAAAGTTACAATTTATAGTCGTAAATAGAAAAGAAAAGTAAGAAATTCTAAAGAAAACAATAAATTTGAAATATAACAAACCAAAGCCATTCCCTAGTTTTCTATCATCACGCATATTCTCTAGCAGAGCAGAAAAAAATAAAATTATTTTCATCTTTTCCACTTCCACCATTTTCACCCTATTCTTTTATGTGATGGAAATAACCATAAATTAATTAAAGTATAGAAAAATATCAACAATTTATATGACATACCATGGGGTCTAGTATCTAAAGCTAGCACAGCAAGTGGAGCATCATCGAGAACTCCAGACCATCTAGCAGCCAACACTCTGGACCCTCTGTGACCCCTCACTACGACTGTTGGCATTATACTTTGCGATAGTGACGACCCACTATACATTGAAACTCCTACACTTCTTCGCATTATGTTACTGAAAAATATAATTCAAATCAAAAAAGAGAAACAAAATAACTATATTTATAAACTAGGTGATTCTTTAAATTGACATTACTTTTATTATATTTTATTTATGAACTAATGGAAATAAAACATATACTAAATGTTAAATGAATCTTATCACAATACGTTACTGAAAACCGCAACCAAATTAGCTAAGTCGTTTCTGAGATTAGCTCGCACAAACGAACAAAGAAACAGACAAAATCCTTGTTTTTGGTTCTATTGTGTTAATAAAGACCCTCAATAATAGTGTCTCTCAAATATCTTCCATGTCCAGATAGCGATCAGTTACACTTTTATTATAGATATTTATAGATAAGCGAAGACAAAAGAACAACCCCAACTAGCTATTTACCAGCTTTAGAGTTGTCAATAAAAAAAAATACGGAAAAAGTTTTTCATGTATAAAATAAACAAGTACATTTTTCTCCTCTATTTGTCAACCGATTTTTTTTTATATTATAAAGCAGTTTTAAACGAGCTTAGAGACTACAGTCAAATTTCGACCACTATACAAATACTAGTGATAATAATTACCCTTTATAGGCTCTAATTATAATGATTCAATAAAAATATAAGTATTTGTTCTCAACTGCAACCTGCGATACGCAGTAAAGAAAAATACTGTCACTTTTACAGCATGTATGTTTAATCAGAATAAACATAATATTAGCAAGATTTAAGTCCCAACCCACTTAATACTTACTTAGATTTACGCGAATGTTTGACACCATGGTCACTGTCTGTAACAAAGATAGTTTTATTTTATTTAATAATCCCAACCCACTTGTTAGAAAGTTTATTGTTTTAGAATTTGTGTTTTTGATAAGTTTGTTATAAACATCTATGTAGATCAAGATCAACACACGAGTTAACAATTATATTCTAAGTGCTAACGACTCACCCTGGCTCCGCTCGGGTTAGTCCCTAGTTACGTTTTAACGTTTAGTATAGATTTCTCAAAGATGAGATATTTTCCCGCAATAAAAAGTATCCTATATGTTGACTCGGATAACCAGCTATCATCATAGTAAATTTCATGAAAATCTGTTCAGTGATTTTCTCGTGATGCGGTCACAGACAGACAAAATTCTAAAAAGTATAGATTCGGCCTCTGTATCGATAATAATGGCTATTTCAATAAGATTTTCCAAAAAAATTTTGATATACAAATTCGATTCAGAATTTTATTATAAATGTATAGATGAATCTTTCTATTTAATTCAAACTATGGTTTATGTAAGTTTTATTATTTAATTCTAAGACTCGGCTCAACGAGACTACATTTTATAGGTAATTAAGTTTAGTTATGTTTTTCGTGAATTAAAATGAAATATAGTTATTCAGAGTCGGTTGTTTCGTAAATAAATTATATAAGTTACTCTTAAGTAATTAATTTTCTTATTTCAGCCTTTTAGAAGTGACATGTTTAAATATGCCTATATTTTGTTCACTATATTATCAAATTCGAATTAGCTATTTTGTGAAAACTGATCAGAGACAGGTAGATATATGTCATTACTTCCATATGTATGTATGTATAACTTCATCCTCGTATTTTTATATGATATAGTATACACTAAATAGTATAAAAATGCTTACTTTTGTTCAGGATCTCTTTGTGGCCGTTGTTTCTTCTTGCACATCACTACGAGCGTGACACATAGTGTTGTGAGGATCGTCATTAACACTAAAGCTAGTGATGCACCTACAAGAAGAGCGACGCTGTTGTCACTTGTTGGTGGCTGAGGTGGCATCGGTGTCATAGTTTGGAGTGAACCTGGTGAAAAAACTTTAACTGATTAATCTCTATTATATTTTCTTTCTTATGTTTGATTGTAATTATAAATAATATGAATTTTAATTGACAAGAAAAAAACAGAAAAAAATATGTATCGGTAAGTCTAGGTAATATTGCTAATTCGTAGTGAGAGCAGGAGACATACACTTTGAAAAAAATAAATAAATAGGATTTATCTATAACACGTAGTATGTATATAAACGTATAATTGTAAGCGTCGGCAACCAAAAATCAAAATAAATCCGCGAAATAATCCGAAAACATAGTTTTATTTAAATTGCCGGTCAAACAACAGGTTACTTTTCATCCCGGAAAAATGAACGGTTCCCGTGGGAACTGATAAATCTCTATTAGTATTTTTAGAGGCGAACCCGAGCGAAGCGAGGGTGAGCCGCTAGTATTATATAAAACTTTTAATAGTGAATTGCATCAGAATAATTTTAAGTAAAACTTCTAGATCAAATATTGTATTCTTTTATATGCGTATGTTTATACATGAACCTCTTCGTGTAGACAAAGCCATAGGCAGGTGCTTTGTCATAAATATCAGATTAAGTCACTACCACGATAATTCATAGTGTAGGGGAGAGATGCAGGAAACATAAATGATTTGTTGCCAGCTAATTGAGGGGACTCAATGTCTACTAAAATTTATTAGTTTGTGAACGTATTTAAACTCACGTAGCTATTTAATAAATAAATGAAATTTTTATGCTGAATAAAGAAATGTATACGATATAATAATTATGAATTGTTGAATTTGAATAATTGGTTCTAACTTCTTATCTAGATTTATTTCGATGTTTGGTTCCCAACTTAAAATAAGATTTTAGAAGTCTCTAAAGTCACTATTTAGTTGTTATATATGGCCGTGACCATGATTGCTGTATAGTTTTCGAAACCAAAAATCAAAATAAATCAGCAAAGAAAAAACCCGAAAAGAACCGAAAAAGTCAAATATTCGAGTAAATCTAGCAAAGTATCACTGGGACTAGATTGGAATAAATTCTTTATAGCTAATATTAATAATTAGCGTATGTACTTCACCCTTTCACTTAAGTCCATCTAAGTAGTGCAAGGAATAGTGGAGGGCATGAGAGCATGTGGTAGGTAAGGTGAGAGGAGGATTTAAACGTCCCTCTGGATGATTGTGCGAGAAAAACATTTACTAGGGAGGAATACTTTTATAAGCAGAATGCATGTTTGATATTATTAGACTCACTCGTATTGACAAATATTTTGTTAGCAATATTATGCTCAAAAGTGGAACGTATGTATATATCGATACGAACCAGGTCCCCCTTGCGTAGAGTTGCATGTGAATACCGAATTTAGTTCGTTTTATACCAAGTATATAAGGTCCTCCTAACCAATCTTGGCCACGACTCGGTGGCCAATCTCAAAACTAGCCATCTGCACAGGAGATATTATAGAGCACAAGTATACGCGCAAACACCAGTGAAAGAGATCGGGTGCCAAATACATAGACAAATTGCCTTTAGTACCCACAAATTATATAAAGAATATTTCTTTTTATGAGCCTTGTCTCTGAGTGATGTTGTATATATACTCGTAAATAAAAGATTTTATACGTAAGAAAAGTGTAGGTTTAACATTAGAAGACTCTGTACCACTTTCAAATAATATACTCTGTGGTGTTAAGTCCGATCGAGTGTAGTGGACGACGGATTTGTCATTCTTACTCGATAGTACAATGTACGGCTGTGTTAAATTCGACCATTTGTTATAGCATTAGGAATTGAAATTGCCATCCCTATGTCTTAAGACACACTGTAAGTCCTATTAGTGTTATATTCGAATACAGGTATCAATTTCTGATACTATATATAGCCTGCAATACTCATTTTTGTAGGTAAAAATTCATTCTGTACTTAAACAAGGCTGGCATAAATACAATATACTTCATTGTTCATTAATTATGTAATTGGTGATATGATACATAGAAAAGAACCCGTAATTCCTACTAAATTTCATCAATAAGCGACAAAAAACATTTTCATGGCAATAGCAACATTTTCATAGCAAATAAAATTGTGTTGATTAAAATAATAATACAGTATAATCTATATAAAAAAATACAGTAATCCATAGAAGGTTTTTAAAAGAAACAAATTGAGAAAATTGCCTGGAAAATTAAGACATTTGGGATAGACTGAAAGTACTTTTTCGATACAACTTTGTATGAACACAAAGATCGCACAAAAATCTTTACATAGTACATAATGAAGTCGCTTCCGCTGTCTGTTCGCTTAGATCTTTTAAATCACTCAACGGATTTTAATGCAGTTATCAGCAATAGATAGAGTGATTCAAGAGGAAGATTTATATGTATAATACTCGTACATGCATATTATAGTACAGAAAAGCAGAGAAATTCAAAGATTTGTATTTCATAGTAACTGTTAAAACGTACCTAGGGATGAACCCGAGCGAAGCGAGGGGGAGTCGCTAGTATTTATTAAAATTTAGTCATAACAATATTTTTTACTCGTACAGGTGTACGACACGTACGACGAACAGTTTCTAAATAGAACTTACCCGGTACGTCCAAATTATCGCTAGTTCGTATAGGAATGCTATGTAGCGCAGCTGGTCGTTGGGATCTTCCTCGTGGCGTTTCCGAATATACGAGGAAAGTATATCTTCCAGGCGATAAGGCATCGAGTGGGAACTGTGGCGTGACGTCGTTACTCGCTCTATAAACAGTTTCTGTGAGTCCTCTGCCAGATATGCCCTAAAGTTACGTGAGTTTGTATTAAATTGTATGTTATTTGTATAAAATTGAGATTTTTAATCAAACTAATATAAAATTTGATAAAGTATTTGTTTATAGAGTAATATTCACCAATACTTTCAAAATGTGATTTCATTAGATATTATATTACCTATTTACGAGACGACACGTTTGGCTCAGTTTGTAGTGACCCTATTTGCTGCGCCAGCAGTCGCGAGTTTGAGTCCCGCTGGTGGGATTCATTTGTGGGATGAGCACGAATGTTTGTACTCCAGTCATGGGTGTTTATATTTACAATATGTATGTATTTAAAGTTATATATGTATAATATATTAACTATCTGGTATCCATAACACAAGCCTCCTAGCTAACATGGGATAGCTTTGTTTCTGTTTCTCTAGAGGCAAACCCAAGCGAAACTTGGGTAAGCCGATAGTGAATAATAAAAAGAATACTATATTCTTTTGCATCGTTTAAGTACCACCATTGATAGAGAGATAGCATATTAGCTTTTTTATTGTTAATTAATAAAATCTGTTAGCTATTTTTATTAATTAACATTTATTTACTTATCACAGTGATGAGCTTTCTATTAATATTTCTATATTGTTTTAAATAATCTATATCATTTTAAAACATTATTTGTTTGGCTTTATATTTAGTTTTATGATACTTCGCCTATATTATTTCTAAGTCTGAGATTGCTAATGGAATAAATTTAATAACTATAATAGTTTTACTCCACTAATTTTAAGTCTATAAATTATGGCAAGTAAAACATTTAGCAGTAAAGGTAAAAATGACCACGTCATCTTACCTGATCATTCATGGCGGATTCATCTCCTTGAATAGGCTCATGAGGGCGTACCTCTAACGCCTCGAGAATAAATCGCTGCGGTAATCCACCATCGTGACCAGGCTCGCAGCGGAGAAATTCGTCTTCTATTTCACAGTTACTTGGAGCTTCAGGAAATGCTACAAGAAAATATAAATTGAGAAATAATGCTAAATATTATTGTTTAACTGAAGGTGTCAAAACTTTGATTTAATTTTGAAAATAATTATACCATCGTCATATTTAAGACCAAAAAAACGTATGTTTTAGTGGATTTTTTTTCTTTCTTTTAACGGGCTTAACCTATAAATTGTTTCAGAATTAATTTATATAATACAGAAATAAAAATATCCCAAAAATTATACAAAGATCAACCCGTGTGTTTGGTTATAAACATTCAAACGTGAACAATAAGCATGTTCACAAACCTTCATATTATTTATTTTTTAATAGTAAAATATTTATTGGTTAGCGCATTATTTAGGAACGGCTACAGGCTAACGTACCTATATGGGTGAGAGAATATTTACAACTTTCGCAATAGTTCAAAAAAGGTTTAAAGGGGAAAAAATTAAGTGACCCAGTAAATTTAAGAATTCGGTGGAATCTGGAAGTGCTTTTCCTATATAGTTTTAAAATTCCATGACATCATAGACAAATAAGGAGAGGAGAGCATCCATCAGGTCAGCTAGATAATAATATTTTTAATGGTCATAGGTCAACATACCTGCAGGCATAATTCTAAACAGACAAGGTTCTCTTTGATTTCCAATATCGTTGCTAGCCCAGCAAGCGAGCCAGCCTAGGTCGTCTTCACCATTAAGTGGTGGTAGCCCATGGACTACAGAACTACTTGATCCCATAACTGTTACGTTTGGTGCTGGTATCTGAGAATATAAAATTATATTAATTTTCACTATTGACACGAACACACGTCTGTTTAAATAACATTTAGTATGACAGAAATAAAAACATACATATATTCTAATTAAGTATTGTCTCCTTTGAAATTAATATAAATAATCTTTATATATATAATTCTTCTGTGAGTGTGTATGTCACTGAACTTCTCTCAAACGACTGGACCGATTTTGATGAATTTTTTTGTGTGTGTTCAAGGGGATCTGGGAATGGTTTAGATTCACAATTTGAATAATAATTTTCATCAAAAAAATTATTAAAAAAAGTTAGAAATTTTCAAATTAAAGACGTGTAGACAGGACAACGTCTGTCGGGTCCGCTAGTATATTATAAAACTACTTGACACAAGTAGTTACTATATGTAATGATTTAATTATTTTTTAAAGAGGATATAGCAGCGTGTCTGTGAAATATGTCGAAATATCGAAAACTTATAAATCAACATAAAGAAAGTGATAATATTTACACCCGCACTTGGCGAGCGTGGTGGACGATGGCCTGATCCCCCTCGTATTGGAAGCAGGCCCGTGCCCAGCAGTGGGACATTAAAAAGGGTTGAATAGATTGTTATTTGGGCGAGATAATCTTCCGAGATCATAGTATTTGTTGCAAAGCATTCGCAACAATCAAAATAAATCCGCAAAAAACCCGAAAAGATAGTTTCATTTAAAATGTAAAATGTTCGCGTTTATCTAAAAAAATATTACCTCTTCTATATTATATACATAAAAACACAGCTAAAAATTGCTTAATTGGATTTTTCTAATCAAAGTATACTCACCGGTAAAACATCTTTGGTGCTATTATAAGTCCAATAAAATCTCAACGGCCCCGCGTCTCTAGAGGACGGCGCAGACACGGAGCATCGAGCTCTGACCTCCCCACCCGGTGCACCAGCTAATTGTTGGACCACGCTACCCGCAGAGCATTCTGGTCGGGCTGAAATATTTGATTTGCTCATTTCTATACAGAACATTGTTTACGTTAAGATTTTGAAATTTAAAAGGTAGTATACCAAACTTGTATAAATAAATCTATTTTTAAAAGTAAAATATTACTATTTTATAATATTGTGTAAATAGTTTTAAATAGTTTAGAGAGTTATATAATTATATAATTACAGACTGACAGATAGATAAACAGACGGACAGATAAAAATTCTAAAAACTATAGATTCGACCTCTGTATCGATAATAATGACTATTTCAATAAAATTATCTAAAAAATATTTAATATATGTACATTAACGAATCTGTATTCGACTCAGTCAACTGTCTTAAGTATTTAAAAAATTATTAGTCACAAAACTGTTTTAGTTCTATACAAAATAACATCTAATAGTTTTTGTACTATATCTCTACATAAATAGAAAGTATATATGTATAAGAGATATACTATATCTCTACACAAATGTAAGCTACACTTTCAGCTAAAAGCTACACATATGCAATATCATTCAAGCTACTATTTCCTTCTTTATAAAAATTATATACTTTTTCACTGTAAACGTAAAATTTGACTTTACTACTTACATAAAACATTTAAAGTTAAGGGTTCGCTTAAACCACTTCCTTCCGAGTTCCAAGCCCGACAGCGATACCTTGCAGAGTGATGTCTTCTAAGACTTTTCAAGAACAGCTTGTTGCCTTCCACTGATATCCCACCTATGGGGTCATCACGTATAAGGTGGTCCTGTGAAAGATAACAAATTTTAGTATAAGTTTCTCAGAGATGAGATATTTTCCCGCAATAAAAAGTATCCTATATATTGAAAATTTTATCAAAATCTGTCCAGTGGTTTTCTCGTAATGAAGTCACAGACAGACAGACAGAAAAAAATTCTAAAAATTATAGATTCGACCTCTGTATGATAATAAAGACTATTTCAATAAGATTTAAAAAAAAATATTTAATGTATAGATTCGACTCAGTTACAGTTTTATTATGTGTAGATTATATATTGGAGGAGTGTCGAGGCGTTTGCACTGTCTAGTCAAGCTTTAAAAGAAACATTTGTTTATTATTATTTATACCTACTTGGATGACCGTGCTTAGAGTAAAATCGTAATATATATATATATTTTAAGTCATAATGACTTTCAGTCCTTCTCATTTGAACAAGTGATTAAATTTAATTTGTAAATAAATATCTAGCTGCAACGATGCTAGGAATGCACTCCACTACAATTAGGTATCCAGCCATTAAAGATATTGCTATGACATCATAATCTCCTAATAACAATATAACCAGTAAATAACGTAATAAATACATAAAAAAACGTAATAGTAAATACATTATATCTAATATGAAAAATATATATTTGTATATAAATTAAAGACAAAACATTTCATTACCTTTTTCTCGTCTCTTTATCTAGCAATTTTCTTTTGTTTAGTAGCTTTTATTGTTTGACGAGATTTAGTGTTATCAATAAAAAATATGGGAAAAAGTTTTTATAAATATATATATATATATATATATATATATATATATATATATATATATATATATATAAGTAAATTCTATTCATACGAGTATATGTTTTTCTCAAATTTTCAATAATTATTATTGTCGAATTGCAATCACTAGACGAGCACTAGTAAAATGAATTAGATAACTTATTAAATGAATAGGAAAATTTTATTATATCGTATCTAAAACTTGCTAGACAGTAGAACCCACCAATTACGTATTCAGCGGCGGCGTGAGGTTAACCAAAGAGCTTTCGTTATTACGGTAAACTATAATTTATTACGTGCTTTCTTTGTTAATTATTCAATATTAATTATTATGGTAATTTGATAACGCCTAATTGTTAAGAAAACATCGTGAAGAAACCTACATGTCTGAGAGAACCTAGCAAGTTTTTGAAAGACTTGTGAAGTCCGTCAACTCACACATGGCCAGCGTGGTAGACTATAGCCTGAGCCCCGTCTTATTAAAATAGGGTAATCTCTGGATCTACTGAACCGATTTAGATGAAATTTGGTAAGAAGATAGTTTGAGACCCTTAAAAGGACATACAATATTTTTTATCTCGGAAATCACTCCTTAAGGGGATGAATATGGGGATGAAAGTTTGTACGGGGAATCAATCAATATTTTCATCATTCGAGTAATTCGATCTTTTGACAGACTACTACAGACCTTTTGATAGACACGAAATAAATACACTGATTTTGAAGTAATTACTATTGATTCTTTTTTTAACCCTGCGTTCGTCGCTAGGCTATTACGAACACAAACGGTCGGTACCGGTTAAAAATTACCACACTCTTCTCAATTTTAAAAACAGAAATATTGAAATTTATAAACTTACTTAACACATTAATTGTGGCCAAGCGCATAGTGCAAAGCAAAAGTCGCGGGGGAAACACATCACTAGTTTCTTTACAGAAAGGTACCTAAAGCAGCACGTTGCTAAGTTAAGCAGATAAAACAATATAGGTACGTGTTTTTACTACCTCAGTGGTATTTTTTACCCGGTAGCGACTAACGAAGGGTTCAAAAATTGTTTTTACTTTCAGAATGGTCTCAAACTATTTTCCCGAATGAAGCAAAAACCCCACTCTTTACTTCATGTGATTTAGAAGCAGGTGTGAATAAGTAATTATTTGTATTAATATGACGTAGATATTAATTATGTTTTAAGTCGCCAAAAGGGTTTATTGAAGTATTTTTTTTTTAATTTTATTTTAGTTTCCAATTTTATAGAATGAAAATACTTAACAACAAACAAATACTAATACAGGTTATAAATAGAAAATCCAATTTCTTATATATATTCGTTTTTTTATAACTTATTTAAAATAAAAATAAATTTATTACTACATATTATAAAATAAAGTTCCTCCGCAGCGTTGTCTGTCTGTTTGAACGTGATAAACTCAAAAACTATCGTGCAGATTTTCATACGATTAATAAATGAACGCAGTGAGTAAATAAGATTTAAGTGTATAATTCATTAAGGTTTCGTGTAAATTGGCTGAAATATGACGATGATTGTTGAAGATGTCGGAAAAAGTCATGCCGACTGGGAGTCTTATTGGTGACGCTTACAAGTTATATGAAAATTATTCCTCTTAAAAGGAACTAGTTTTATGATAAATTCATTAATTTATAAACCTAAAATAAACTAAATCTTTTCGGATTATTTCGCGGATTTATTTTGATTTTTGGTTCCCGACGTTTCGAATGCTTTACAGCAATCATGGTCACAGGAGAGACTGAGGTTATAGACGTCTCAAAGGCAATAAACACTTATTACAAACAGTGCCTACCCACTATTTTAAAAAATTGATTTGTATTTATTGATTTTATTTAAAATATCAAATATTCGCGTAAATCTAAGAAAATATTATGTGAAAATTTTTATAATCAAAAATCTTTGATTCTAAGAATTTTCGATTATATTACAAGACTAAAACTTTATTGGAGTTTACATAATATTATAATGAATACCAACATAGTATTATACTAACCCTACTATGGTTACCTCCAAGTAACTGTAAAGCCGACAGTACAGTTTTAGAAGCTACCATAAAAATACAATTAATATAAAAAATTTAGCTTTTTACAAACAAACCCACTGTCACATTCTAGCAATTTTAAATTAAGCTGTTAATTTTTCCACATATGAAAATAGCGTGCATTCATCCATAAATCCTATACTGAAACAACATTTACCAACTAATACCTTTCACTGTTATAAAGTTATTTCTTTCTGGGCATAACAAATTGAATTTTCATAGAGTATTAATTAAGGCCTGATTACAGTACCGTCACGCCACATGAGAATTACGTCGCATTCGATCGACTTAAGTTTCAATTTGCGTGGAAAGCTCTTAAGCTCGGGTTGTAGTGGTTAGAAAACATGCTAAAATCCACTCAAGTACATCGAACTTTATTTTGAAGTTAAACAATGAATATTTGCTTTCTTAATAGACCACTCAGCTTTGATTTTACGTTTTTGTGTGAATGCAGCACTATTCGAGGAAATTGATTTTTTTATATGTTACTAGCAGAACCCGCAGCTTCGCCCGCGTAAATAAACTCTTTTGCTTTATGTTTGTTGTTCATACAAAAATACTAAAATCGCAATAAAAAAATGGGGGGTTCTATTCTCATACCTACCAAATATACAAAAAAATCATTAAAATCGGTCGAGCCGTTTTGGAGGAGTGTGACCACAAACACCGTGACACATCATATTTATATATTAGTCGCTCCACGACCGTGGACACGATGGCGTTACAGTTGACAATAGATTTCTTAGAAATATAATTAATTTCTTAGAAATTCACCTGGATTTGTTAGAGAAAGATAGAATATTAGTTTTGAATTATAGCAGTTTCGTAAAAATTTTGAAGTAATATACCCGTCTAATTTTTGGCTAATCTCATTGAGACTGACCATATATATGGTTATTAGTGCACTCGCTGTTCCGACATGTTTATAGTGCGATCATGATATTATGACATGACGTTTGACACTCCCCGTGCTCTCTTTAAGGTAGAAAGTCTTAACTCGACTTGGTATATAGAGTGATCAAAATAAATACAAAACCTTCCAAAGAAAATAAACAACAAACCGTTATTTATAGTAAATGCTTAACTCTTTTTAATTAAACACCTAAAATAAACCAGGGCAAGGGCTCTATTAACAACTTCTACCACAATACATTTACAAGTTCAGAAGCAAGTAATATTATGTTTGGACCTAAACAAACTTCATTATGCCCGGAGAGGCTTCCTTCATGTAGCTAATTAATTATAGCCATAAATTTTCTGATTAGACGCTTTTATTAACTTGAAGTTGTTCACTGAAAGTTTTAAAAAAGCTCTTACTCCTTTTTAAATGTTTGTAGCTTAACTGGGTTATTAGATGTCGGTTTAGATGCATTTGTGTGGTTTAGTCCCCTACTCTATTAACTGTGAGATTCACTTCTAGTGTAACTTAAATCTATACATATAATAGAATTGTAACTGATCGCTGTCTGTACATGGAAGATATTTGAGAAAAACTATTATTGGGGCCCTTTATTAATACAATAGAACCCATAATAATGATTTTTAGAATTCTTTTCTGTTTGTCTGTGCGTTTGTGCGCGTTAATCTCAGAAATGGCTTAACCGATTTGGGTGCAGTTTTCATTAATGTATTGAGGTAAGATTCATTTAAAATTTAGTATTTGTTTTATTTCAATCGATTCATAAATAAAAAAGAACCTTTTTTTTAACGTTAGGAAATGCATTTACGCACGACGTGTGGGACTCACCAGCGTAATACAGCCAGTACTACCCACTAAAACCCAACAAAACCTTCCCCCGTCTTAATGGGGTGACGCAGGATCGCTTACGCATTCAACTACGACGCCCCAGGTCTGCCAAAGCAGACCACCACAACCATGGGGTTGCTCCAAGGTCCACTCTGCTATCAGAGAAGTACCAGGAGCAACCCGCAAGGTACACCACCCCCCGAAGAAGGCCACCTCCCCCGAAGTGGGCAACCTCCCTGTGCGTTTTTTAGCTTCGTGCCCGGTTGGATTGCCGGGCACTACTGAGCCCCCCCACCACGACAAGGTGAACGCACGTTGGGGGGGAAATAAATAAAAAAAAAGAACCTGAGCGAAGCAAGGGTGAGTTGCTAGTACATAATATAAGCATATACTCGTATTACTCATATTAAAGCAGTAGCCCATTTATATTTTAACAACTCGATTTAAATAAAATTAAATTTTTAATTCAAATAGCATTTGATAAGCACTTTTGAATTGTACAATTTGTATATTATAATTTATATTAAATTTGAATTTTTCAAAAAGTAATTTTGTGAGAAAGTTACCAAAGACTTGGAGGGTAGTTCTGTTGAGGAGATTAGATGAGAAACTAAACAGTTACCCTTTTAAAAATTATACTTGCTTACAATATTTCAATATAATCATTATGTACTTGTTCTACGTTAGTAACAAGTAAATTTAGTGCTACACATTTACATCTGCAAAGTATTTCGTGATGGAATAATATGATTTGCTCAATAATTGTTTGAAAATACATATATAAAAGTTTTACCATATTATAATTATTACCTCTGTCCCTTTATAAAATGTGAAATTGTATGATGGTGGCGAAGCATCGGACGAGCACAGTAACTCAGCATCTTCGTCATCTCGTAGTAGCCGCGCCTCTTTGGGTAGAGTCAACGATATTTGTGCGACTGGTGGATCTAGAATAAAAAATTAAAAAATATAATATTTACATACACAGGAATAATAAAAATGTTGCATTCGAATGCAATTCAATATGTAATCTTGTATTTAATGTCAATTATCTTCTTTTTTTCATAAATTATTTGTATAATAATGGTTTTATTCTATTGATTTATATTTTGAACCCTTATTTAAGAGATTGATGGATACGCTAATATTTTAACGATGTAGGTAAAGTTTGTAAAGGAGGAATCTCTGGATGAATCTGATATTGAAAATTCTTGCAGAAGCTATTAATGTTGTAATTTCATATAATTGTATTTGTCCCTATGTACTGCAGAATTACTATTATTTGAAGACACGCTTGGTTCAGTTTGTAGTGACCCTATTTGCTATGTAAGCGGTCGCGGTTTCGAATCCAGCTAGGGGCATTTCTATTTATAATACGTATATATATATATATATATGTAGTCGATCAACTACCTGGTATCCTTAACACAAGCGTCGTAGCTTACCATGAAACTAGATGGTGCTGTGTATTAATGTCCTAACATTGTTTTTTAATATTTATTATTATGAGTTATGACGCTATTTCACAACAGCAATGAAACTCAAAATTGTTATAGCATTATTTATGCCAAAAAATGAATAAATATACAATAAGTATTATAATATTTAAATTGAAGTTCAGTAATTCAAACATAAGATGCGAATGATTTCACAAAGTGAACAAACAACAAACTTAAACTTAAAGCGCTGAGTTTCTGGCAACTTTAAGGAGACTGATTAGAATGGTAAAAAGTTTAATTTTCTAATATCTTATTATATTATAATGACTTCATTCTCAACACCTGAGAAAATTTCAAGTTTTAATAAGATTATATTGTAAAACAAATTTGAAGGTCATGTTATAGACATATTGAAAATGCCAGTGACTTATCAAAATTGCTGTGTTGGTAGCGTTTTTGTAATAACTACAAGTGAATATATTCTTAAAATTATTTACCTACTAGTACTCACCCTTGTACCGCTCGGATTCGCTTCTAGAAAAACAAAAATAAATCTATCCCACGGGAACCGTACATTTTTCCGGGATAAAAAGAAGCCTATGACTATAATCTATCTCAGTGACAAAATTTCATCCAGATCCGTTCAGCTATTGTGTAATGATTGAGTAACAAACATCCAAACATCTATCTAAACTTTCACATTAATAATATTAGTAAGATAACGTTATCTATACTCATATTATAAAGAGGTAAAGTTTGTGAGTTTGTGACGTTGTATGGGGTAATCTTTGGATCCACTGAACCGATTAAGATGAAATTTGGTTAGAAGATAGTTTGAGACCCTGGGAACGACATATAATACTTTTTATCCCGGAAATCATCCCTTAAGGGGGTGTAAATGGAGATGAAAGTTTGTGTGGAGAATCAAGTTAGGGACGAACCCCAGTGAAGCGAGGGTAAGTCGCTAGTTGTATAATAAAATTAAAATATTTTTTTTAAACTATTTACTTAATTAAAAACTCCTTTATTAGTAACTAATATAATATTTTGAATTATATAATTCATAATAATACAGTTATCATTCTGACTTATTTGTTAGAGTTTAATTATTCATCAAGTCTATGAATAGTATCAGAAGCTAATAAAGAAGCAAATTTAGCAATTTACCATAGTTGAGTAGTCTTGATTGGAGATAGTGCAAATTGTTAAATTTTGATCATAGAATAGTATTAAGTTTAATATAGAAATGGCAAAGAAAGTATTCGGATTTAAGGCAATAAAAACCAAAAGCTTATATTTAGATATACATTTTTAAATTTAATATTAGTCATGGGGTTAATTAACATAATATTATTATACATAATAAATGTCAAAGCTCAGTATTAGATAAGCCTCATAAGTTTAGTGGCTAGCATAAAGTATGAATGCAGATACTGAGATTCTGGGTTTGAGGCTCAGGTTAAGCCTAATATAGATACGGCGTTTTTCTGTCAAGAAATTTTAAGTTGCAGTCCAGAATAAGGATGTTGGCGGTGTTATGAACCCGTGTCGAGGCTGAGCATGTAAAGCAGTCTGTCCTGCGACTGAAAGTTACATTAAGTATATTATAGTATTATAAATTATTTCATAAAAAAATTTATCGATGACACGTATGGTTCAGTTTGTAGTGACCCTACTTGCCGTGCCAGTGGTTACGGGTTCGTATCCCGCCGGGGGCATTCATTTGTGTGATGAGCACGAATGTTTGTACTCCAGTCATGAGTGTTTATATTTATAATATGTATGTATTTAAAGTTATATATGTGTGGTGTATCAACTATCTCGTATCCATAACACAAGCCTTGTAGCTTACTATGGAACTAGATGATGCTGTATGTTAATGCCCCGACATATTTATTTATTTATTTATATATTTAACGTATGCGTACCTATTTGTTGCATTTCTTTATAACATAAAATTAAAGATAACACATATAAATAAGTCGTTTGATGCCATTTCGTGCACTTCTTTCTTCTTTGGTTAATTCAGGACACGATCAACAAAGTAACTAGTTCAAAATATAGGTACAGATTGTCTTGGTGGAGCAAATTTTAGTTGTTCTCAATAAGTTTCTACGAATATTCTCTGTATACAATTTTACATTCTGTGAACGCTTTGTAGCGTCACTTTATCTGTACAGAGATATTATTTTGTCAGCTTCTTAAAATTATGAAATACGAATCGAAATCGAGTGAAGTGAGATAGTCTAATAAAGGATTTTCCAAGCAATATTTTTATATATTTTTAATAATTGCATAGTAAAGTAATATCCCCCTAATCGATTTCGGTTACAGCGGTCAATCTCACTGAGACTAGCTAACTGAGAGGAAGATATTATATTGCACAAGTTTGTGCGCAGGCATTCCTTATTTCTTTCACTTCTTATATCGGTAGAAAAAAAAATCGACTCAGCCCGTGAGACATCAAGCGCAGAATTAGAAGCTAAACGTACTTTTAGAGCACAGAGATGCAAACACTATCAAGTTGCTAGCTCCGGGTACCTAACTAATAAGTATTTCCTGACAAAAATCCATAACTGCCGAGACTTGCTCGGTATCGAATCTAGGGCCTTATAAACTGCAGCCATACCTACCTACCATATTTCGTTTTAGTATGTTATGAAAGTATTTTCTACCTCTGTACCAAATTTCATTCAAATCTATTCAGCCGTTCTGGCGTGATTGAGTAACAAATATTCAAACATCTAAGCTTTCACTTTTATAATATTAAGTAAGACTAGGGACTTGATTCCCAATACAAACTTTCACCTTCATTGTCACCCTTTTAAGAAATGATTTCCGGGATAAAAACTCTGTGTCCTTCCCAGGGTCTCAAACTATCTTTTTATTACCAAATTTCATCTAAATCGGTTCAGTTGTTTCGAAGCCTATTCAAGACTAACAAACAAACAAAACATCAATTTTTTCATGTTTTAATATTAGAATAGATTATTTTTTATTTATATTATTTTACCTAATTCTTTTTGAAATTATAAAGTTATTTCTCAACAATTTTGAAACGTAAATAAGATAATTTAAATGAGAGAGTTTCCAAGTAAAATCTACTGTGTATTGTTTACTTCAGTTCTCCTATACATTATCGAGTTTTGATCTCCTAACAACATGTTCTCAACTTTCAGCACCTATATTGCTTCTTGTGTGATGTTTATTTTAACTAGTGTTCTATCCTTACTTTCCGTTAACTCTCAAGATACTGTGTGTTCAGTATTTTTAAAGTATATCAATCATGTTAAGTATAACCTTTTAAAAAGACACACACTGTTCACACCCCTTTCCTCTTACAGTTTGCCAATTCGAGCACCATAAGATTATCTGGAAGAGATCGCTGTTTTAGCAACAAGGCCGCTTCCTGTACAATGTATATAGTCCAATTTCTATTTTTCTTGTACTAATTTTTCTTACTTTTTGTGGGTATACAATAAAAAGTATTTATTATATTACAGAAATCATATCATATTATGTACATATCTTGAGATACTGGGATAATAATAGTGTCTTGTTAAAAATGTTTCAGCCACGTCGGCCAATTTTACTGAAACTGACAAGACCATTGAGAAATCAGGCGCAGGACCGGCGGGTTTATGTACTCTTTAGTCAGTCATGTCATAATGAAACACCGCCAACTTTCTAGCTGTTACTGAGAAATTGTTTTTTTCTGTCAAAAAATTCTTTCTTGACCCAACTCGGGATCCGAACCCAGAACCTTTAGATCCGTAGTCAAACATACTACTACTATACTATACGCAGCCATACTTACTAGCCACGAGACCACCGAGGTATATACCGAGGCATATATACGAGATAAAGATTAGCCTATTTAGGTCCATTTAGTGAAATAAATTCTAGAATCAGATCAATAGTTTCAGTGTGTGTTTACCTTTTTTTTCTTCTTTTTTTTCAAAGATCGGAAATGCATTTAAGCATACCTGCATACATACAAGTGGTTACGTGGGACTTACCGGCCAAACCGCCAAACCAGTACTACCCACTAAAACACATCGGAACTTACCCCTGCTTTCAACTGGATTGCCGGACGCTAATGACCCCCCCCCTCCCCAACCAAGACATGGGTATATTTAGAGGACATCCAAAGTTACAAGTGTTTTCTTTTTTAATATAAATTCATATATGTAGCATAATACTATATTCACGTGCATAGTACCTAAAGATTAAAAGCTGGATCAATTTTGATGTAAATTTTCTTTATTTGATATCCATTCACAGAGATTTAAATAATTTGCTATCCATATTTGCATATTGCAGTGTAAATTTCAACGATCGTTGTTAATTTTTTTATTACTAACATTTAAATAAGTGCTTTTATTGCGTCAGCTGAAACTCATAACTGTAAAACGAGTGCACTGAGTCAATTAGCCTGGAGTTTTATTTCGTTGTTATCGTTTATGTGTTGCATTTGCGACGACAAAATGACATCAATTCAAGTAGTT